CTCAGCAGTTTAAAGTACCACCCCCTCCCTACCAAACCACAAAAACTCCAGCGCACGTCTCTCCTCTCAGCCTCGAGCTCGTTTTGTTTCCCCACACGAAGCGCCGAACCCGTTCCCTTAATTCTGACAGACCTGAGTTTGACCCGGGCAGCTGAAGCTGAAGGTGTAATCAGCTTCATCTGCGCTCGCTTCGAGTCTATTTTAGTCGGAGTCGAGAGGCCGGATGATAAGGACTTCCCCCATCCTGTCTCAGCTATCGGTCTTTCCTGGAAAGGTGAGCGTGTACTTATAAACTGCTCCGACGGGAGCACAATACGCTCAACGTGAAATCGCACTTAAGGCTTAGCATTTCACGAATGACTGCATATCGCCCGCCGTCTTTCACACGAGAGTTTTAGTCGGAGATCGTCTCGTGATAAATGGACTGTGCTTGTACAGCTCCTTTCTATCGGATCAAGCTCTTTACAACAATCTGTGCCTCACTGACCCATTCATGCAGCGCTCTGCTAGATCTATACAAAGAATAATCACGTGCGTGGGACACATCGGAGGCAATGAGCGGTTCAATGTCTTGCCTAGGGGCACTTGGGCAGGTGACTGCTGGAGTCGAACCCCCAACTCTTGCATTGGAGGACGACTGCTCTAACCACGGACGCCCTGTTGAGAAGTTGTAGGCACTTCTGTAAAACCAAGAAATATTGTGAAACGTCACGCTCAGGCTGTGCGTTTTGAATGACTCTCAGCTACTACCATGAAGTTTAGTTAAATATCAGTGACGGTGCTATAGCCTGTTTTGTGTTTGCTAAGCTCAGTTAGCTACGGGGGCCACATTGAGTTGCGTTAGCTCTAAAAGTGCATCTACTCATCATTTCCTGAAACTTGTGTTAAAATAAATCCAGCGGTTCGTGAGATATTTTACTAACAGACAAACTGGGTGTGACTGAGTTTATGGTCAATTTTAAACAGTGATCTTCTTGTGCGATCGGATAGAGCTCAAACGGGGTGTTTGGGATGACACCAGATTTTAAGTGAATAGCTGTACAAACAGCCCAGCTGTAGCCATGTTTACGTTTTTTAAGTGGCTGTGGCAGCCATCTTGAATCAGGCAGCCTATAAATGTAGATGAACATCCGATGATTACTGAACGGTTCAGTCAAATCCGTCCAGTGGTTCCATGATACTGAACGCACACAAAAGGCACGGGCAAGAAACTACTGCCGTTCAACAGCAGGCGATAACGAACATTTCTCACCACGTGGCTTTTTTTTCTGCCCTGGGTCCCCTCCGGTAAACAAGCTGCATGCAGAAACCAGCTGTACACTTTTCCTTGGAGGCTAACGCCAAAAAACTGGAGCTGCACTTGACTGACCCACGTCTGCGTCAAACAAACAAACAAATAAAATAAAGACAGCATTCCTTAAAGGAGTGAATATATGTTTGGTCAAACTTTAACAAACCGCTAAGTGCATAGCTCGCCTGATCCGTTAGCGGTGAATGACTCTCAGCTACTACCACACAAATATTAGCTTAAAATCTGCACGATTCACTGAGCTTTAGTCATTTTGGTGTTTTCTAAAGTCAAGTAGTTGTGACGACCATCTTGAATTGGGTTAACTCCATTAGTTGAGTTGAAAATGAAAAACTGCTTTGCCGTATACGTCGCATCTATTACGCGTCACCGCTGACAACCCGGAAACGTGAGCCGGTGTTGTGCCAAAAATCGATAGGCTGCCAAATGGTGGCCGTGGGGTCATGCACAGGAGGACTTTAACAAGAATTTAACAAGATAAGCACCTAAAACAATTATTTGTTAGTTCTAGTTTACGGTAAAGGTGTGTCTCGGTTGAACTTTTACTTAATAAATGCACTTTGACGGTCAAATTAGCTGCATTTCGCCGGAGCGGCGCATCAAAATGAAGCTGATTCGGTTGCTTCAAGCAGACGATGGTGGCAGGCTATGGCAAGCAGATTGTGTCATTAATAGCCACTTTTACCTATTAATTCAATTAATTTCAGTTTATTTATATAGCGCCAAGCCACAACAGAAGTCGTCTCAGGGCATTGAACAGAAACAATCATATTTAAAAATAATAATTTAACATTATTTATCTGAGGAGCAGACTGCTTTGAGTTTAACTCCATTACATGATACAACGGCATGCCTTACTACTCGCCTGCCATCTAGCGACTGAAAATGTTAGTGTTCAATTTTTTTCAGTCAGAATAAATTAAAATGGTCATATCGCAGCCAAAAATTGGTTTGTAAATATGGACAAAAATGTTGCAGGGTATGCAAATTATGCAAAAAAAACATGACTTATACAGCAAAAAATACACGCATGATCATTAAAAATCTGTTCGACAACTCGTGATGTTTTGCTAACAGACAAACAGGGTTGTTTGTAACAATGTCACACTTTTTTTGCGCTCAAAGTATGTGATGAGGAAAATAATCAACTTGAATAACACAAAACTTTAGCTTAAAAGCCTAAATTTAAATTAACGCTAGTTTTGTGTTATCTGAAGCCCAGCTGGCTGTGGCAGCCATCTTGAATCGGGCTGCACAAACGCATTGTTTGCGTGTCGATTCCCTTTGATTCAAGCACGTTTTCAGTGTTTGTTGCTGTTTACGATGGCGCTGCTGCAGTTCTCCTCCCGAGCTGTAGGTGTTGCTACAGAGAAAACACTGCAGCAGGAAGTACAGGCAGAAGAAGAGCTGTTTGCTTTAGAAAATGTAGAAAGGGAATCCGTTCTTCACAAACGTGACTTCACTTTAACTTTTAGGATTTTATCATCGCAAAGCCTTAATGAGCCGATAAATCCAGACTTGATCCCAAACCTTTATTGGTAAAAGTCTGTAAAGTGAAGTTGGTTAATCGTCACATCTGATGTGCAGCACAAGATGGATTACTTTGTACACATTAAAGTCCGCCTCGTTGTTGGTGAGATATTTTGCCAACAGTCAGACAAAGTTGATTCCAGTAGTTGTTGCTCAAGTTTAGTATAAACGAGGCATCAGTCTCAGCTACTACCACACCACACCGTATCTGTAACACCGACTTAGTTACGTCCATTTTTGTATTTGCTAAGATCACTTAGCTGTGGCGGCAAACTTGAATTGAGTTTCTGCAAAAGTTAGTTCGTTGCATCTAAATGACCGCGTCCTGAAAACTACATTAAAATCCAGTCAGTGATCCATTAATATTTTGCTAACTGTTCCAACAAATCAACACATACAGAGACTGTTTACTATCATCACTACTATCCCAAAGTCTTCGCCTTCAGCGGCGGGCGATAACGTCTGTACCACTTTCTTACCTTGGCGGGTGTCGGTAAACATCACGCAGCAATTAGTTATTAACCAACACCGGCTGGAGTCGGCACAGAGGGGGGACTTGTTGGTCCATCAGTCATTAACTCAAACTGGGACGATCGGACGCGGCTGCTGTCGACCCGAGTGTGACTCACTTGGAGCAACAAAGATGGAGGAAGACGAGTCACGCGGTCAGACACCGACCTTGGAGCGGATGCTTACGGAAAAATAGGCCTTTATGAAACGAACGCCAGTCGAATAAATATCAAGCAGGTTCACGGCCACTTCTACTCCAGGCTACACAACACGAGAATCAAGGTAAAATAAAAAAGGATCAGCTCTAAAAAAAATTTCAAAGAACTCGAATATGAACACTAAGAACTTGTTTATTTTTTGTTTGTTGGCATTCTGTGGATTCACGGTTGTATTGTAAAGCCACTGCGCCCACGCTGCCTCTCTGCTACAGGAGCTGCTAAAAGAAATCACACTTTGACACAGATCTCTACAAAAGTTCTCACCTGCCACTGGAGGAGAGGGGTGATAATGTTTCTGCCTGCGTCAGTGAATGTGTGGAGTATTAGCAAAACATCCTGTGAAACACTAGCTGGGGTTAATGAAGCCTTCAGAACGTAATCATTGGATGTGCATCCATTACCTTTGCATAATTCAAGATGGCTGCCACAGCTAAGCAGCCTTAGTCGACATGAGCATGGCCGTATCTTGGTTAGATTTACAAATAAGGAGCTAAATTTTGATGTGGTAGTAGAGGAGAGTCTTCGTTAATCCATTCCTAAAGCAGGAAGACATCAACAAGATTCATCTCATTATTTTCAAGATTTGACCAAAATGGCTACGATTCCATTCCTTCTCATTAAAAAGAGGAGTTTAGTCTAAAGCAGGGCTATATAACTGGTGGTCTGGGGGCCACATCCGGCCTGCGGGTGAGCTCAGTCCGGCCCTCAGACAAGTTCATTCAAAATAAAACATTTACAAAAATCAGAACTGATAAATAATTCTGTCAGAGGGGTTATATGGGAAATCTACGACAGAGCTATACAACTCAGTCTGGTGGGATTTCTGAACGGACCGAGGCAGCGAAGGGGTTTAAAGCCAACCCACCCATCAAGCGTCTTTATGAAGAGAGGTAGTAACAGAGGCGAAACAGCCAACGTGAAAAGGGAAGCCGATGTCTGCGGCTCAATAACGTGATGAAGTCTGACGTACGGACTGTGCAACCACCTGGTCACGGGACTAAACGACAAACAAACAGATTACAGAGAGATCGATGATGGACTAACA